TCTAGTTTACTTCTACTGTTTGGCTATTGTGAATAATGCTTCTATGAATATTGGTGAACAAGTTTTTACATGAACCCAATTGTTTCCTAAGTCCAGCCCATTGCCTCATTTCCAGCAATCTTTTTGATTCCTGTAGTTTTTGATCCTTGTGTTTCGAGCTGCTTAGGGGTAGAAAGAGTAGGAATGTGCTGGAAAAAAAGCAGAAAAAGGAAGAAGAGGTCCTGGGCACCTAGGGTGTAAGAAGAAGAGACTGAATACCTAGAGGTGACAAGGAATGCCTAAGGAGAAGAAAAGGAAAACAGGGATGAGAAGGAACAGAAGACACACTTCACCACAGCTTCCCTACAATCACAAAGGATGCAGAGAAAAGGAGGGGGAAGGGGTGTATAGCAGCATGATGGAATGGGAAGGCCATCAGTCTAGGAGTCAGAAGTTGTGGGTTTGGTCCCTCTTTTGGCTGATAGGACCTTGACAAGGTACTTCCTTGAAATTCACGGCTTCTTATGCAAACTGGACACAAAATGACTCACTCATCCTCATTGGGTTTGCAGGAGGATCAAATGATATCATAGAAGTGACAAATGTTAGAAAGCTGAATATATAGTACACATGTGAGAGATTAAGCTTCAGGAAAAAGCTTGCATGTAAGGCTTCCAAGGACTAAAGTGATCCCTGAAGAGAATGGTCGGAGAAACTTAGCATCTGAGAGGGGCCTTTCTGTTGGAAATACTCTCATTGCCGATTAGTTTGCTCATAGGGGCTCTTGTCCACAATAACTCTTTTCCTTCCCAGGCAAGGGTGAGGAGGATTTTTTTGCTCTTTCACAGATAAATGAGAGAGGCCTGTTGTGAAGGCCTAGGATTTGAGAAGATCAGGAATTTGAGGGAGTTGGACACTGGAGTTTCCCTGGGGTCCTAGGGATTCGTAGATTTTAACAAAATCTGGGCTCAGATTTTGTTAAAGCCCTTATCTGTTTTGAAAACCCCATCGTGGATCATTAGTTTTATACAGCTTTTCCTTAGTTGTGATGGAAAGGTAGAAAACGTGATAAAATGCCCGATGAGATGATTAGGCCATTACCAGAGGTCTCCGTGGACTGGGTGTGTCTTGAGGGCAGCCTAGCATTGTTTGAAATTTTCTGAGACATGAATGGTGATTATTATTAATAAAAAGTCAAGAAACAACAGATGCTGTCAAGGCTGCAGGGAAATAGGAAAGCTTTTACAGTGTTGGTGGAAATGTAAATTAGTTCAATAATGTGGCAGATGGTGTGGCGATTCCTCAAAGACCTAGAATCAGAAATACTATTTGACCCAGCAATCCCATTACTGGGCATATACCCAAAAGAATATAAATCATTTTATTATAAAGACACATGCACACATATGTTCACTGCAGCACTATTTACCATTACAAAGACATGGAATCAAGTCAAATGTCCATCAATGATAGGCTGGATAAAGAAATGTGGTGCATATACACCATGGAATACTATGCAGCCATAAAAAGGAACGAGATTATGTCCTTTGCAGGGACATGGATGGAGCTGGAAGCCATTATCCTCAGCAAACTAATGCAGGAACAGAAAACCGAATACTATGTGTTTTCACTTATAAGTGGGAGCTGAACAATGAGAACACATGGGCACAGGGAGGGGAACAACCCACACTGGGGCCTGTTGGTAGGGGCAAGGAGAGGGAGAGCATCACAGCTTCAGGAAAAATAGCTAATGTATGCTGGGCTTAATATCTACGTGATGGATTGATAGGTGCAGCAGATCACCATGGCACACCTATGCAACAAACTAGCACATCCTGCACTTGTACCCCGGGAACTTAAAATGAAATTAAAACAAAAATGAAAAAAAAATTTCTGAGACATAATAAAAATCACTAATATTTATTGAGCACTACTTTGTGCTACTCTTTTAATCATTTATGTACTAACTTACTTATCTTCATTAGAACCCTATGAAGTAGATTTTTTGCAGAGGAGGAACTGTGAGGGATGAGAAGTTAAATAATGCCCTGGACACATAACCAGAAAGGGTGGAGTCGGTATCACACCCAGTCATCCTGATTTCAAAGCGGTGCACAGAATGTGATGTGATGTAGCAGAAAGAAGCCCAGGCTTCCAATGAGAAGGCCTGGTATTCATCACTCCACTACCCCTGAGAAAAGAGAGTGGTCTGTGGCCTGTTATTGTGGGAATTGCCAGCCTGCTTTGGGTACCACCAAGACCCATCTCTCCCTTTATGTTGAATTGGTGGGGCCAACTCCTGACACAATTAAATCTTAAGTCTGGGAGGGATTGGATACCAGTCCTCTTGGTTTTATTTCCCATTTCCTCTCTAGTGTGAGACTTGTATGGGAAGGAGGGGAGAGAGAAGAAGTAGGGGGAGGAGACGGGAGAGTGGGGGTGGGTGGGAATGACATCAGGTGGGAATGTGCCAGTCAGCGGGGGTAAATTTTCCACTTGGATCTATGTGGAAACCCGATCCTGCCTCTATTTTTGGTTTCCTTCTCTAACAACCTTTCACCAGATTGGAATTTTTCTGCACCTGTAACACATTTTTAATGTAATAAGTCTAGGAGAAACCAGGTATTATATCATGCTGAGGCCTGTGCTGTGTTTCTAGGAGCAAAGGTAGCCCAGACCCTAGTTTATCCCTATAGGGGATTAGTGTATTAGTCACCCTGTAAAAGCTCAATTTATTATGATTTTTTAAATGTTTCTTTTAGCACTTGCTTATAAAAGGTGAAGAGGGGAGCCTTAAATGTGTCTGTGTTCCCTGCCCCCACCTGCTTCACACAAGCCCATACTCTCTGTCAATTCCCTATGAACCCGAATTCCACAAAATTAAATCCAGAGGTATTGGCTTTGACCAATTACCTTACCTTTGCTTCACTGGCCTTTGTCCTGGTTTGGGCCAGTGTGAGGAATGAAAAAATGAGATTATTGTACTTGCCACCCCTTGGCGGGGAATGAAAGTAACTTAGAAACTAAGTTAGCTGTTTAGGGTGACCACAAATGGCTCCTGGGACGGAAGCTCAGATTTGGGTTGTTTCTGTGCAACTGGGTCCTTCCTTCTCCCTTACTCCAGGTTGGCTATCTGTGGATATGCCACTGCTTGTATGGGGCTCAGTGTAGATGTTTCTGCCAATTTTTCTACCTAACTGAAGCGTCCTATGCAATTCATTCCTATCACTGGGTTAAAAAAAAAACAAAAAACAAAAAACAAGAAACAAAAACAAGGAAAGAAAGAAAAAAAGAAGCAGTTTGAAGCCCACGTTCACAAAAGAATGTGTGAGGCCAAGAGAGCGTGCTAGACTCAGGAGCATACATGGGTTGGTGTCCCAATTCCACCATCCAGGCCAAGGGCTGCATGTAAGCTACCTGGATTTTGAATTTTGGTGGATATTCAGTATTCAAGTAAGTCTTTTATCCTTTATTTCATCTCCTGTCCCCCACTCACTAAAATCCTGACTTCTACCTTAGAATGTGATATAATGTAGCAGAAAGAAGCCTGCTTCCAATCCGAAGATAGGAACTGAAGCCTCAGCTCTGCCATTTTCTAGCTGTGTGCCAAGGGACAAAATCAAGTTTTGTGGAGACGCAAGGGGATATAGTTTCTGGTGTCTTTTTTAAGGAAAACGACACAAAGTCATGAATGCAAAATTGCTATGGTCCCTGAGAGGACCTGGAAAGGGCTTGTACAAGTGAAGGCTGAAGGACATCAAAGCTTCATTAGCTTCACTAAATTGCCTCTGTGTGTAGCCCTAAGTCATTCAACCTCTTTGAGCTCTAGTTCTTTTCTTTTCTCTTCTTTTTTTTCTTTTCTTTTCTTTTTTTTTCTCTCTCTCAACCTCCCTCCCTCCCTCTTTCTATTCTTTTTTCTTTTTTAGATGGAGTCTCACTCTGTCACCCAGGCTGGAGTGCAGTAGTGTGATCTTGGCTCACTGCAACCTCTGCCTCCCAGGTTCAAGCAATTCTGCCTCGGCCTCCTGAGTAGCTGGGATTACAGGCAGCTGCCATCGCAACTAATTACTGTATTTCTAGTAGAGATGGGGTTTCACCATGTTGGCCAGGCTAGTCTTGAACCCCTGACCTCAGGTGACCTGAGGTGGTCTCCCAAAGTGCTAGGATTATAGGTGTGAGCCACTGGGCCTGGCCTCTAGTTATTTCATTCCTAAAATGGACTTAATCATGCCTGTCTGTCCCAAGAGAGTATTGTAAGGAATATGCAGGAGTAAATATGTGTGAGGGTGTTTTTGTACATACACATGCATGTACACACACACACAAATACACATGCACACATATATATACAATTTAGAAATGTATTATTATTACAGTTCGTTCAGATATTGGTTTAATGTTTTGATTACACTATCTAGAGTTTCCCTATCCCCTACTCAATTATTTGTCTCAATGTTTCTTTACTTTTTTTCTTTTCTTTTTTGAGATGGAGTCTTACTCCGTTGCCCAGGCTAGAGGGCAGTGGCATGATCTTGGCTCACTGCAACCCACCCCCCAGGTTCACGTGATTCTCCTGCCTTAGCCTCCCAAGTAGCTGAGATTATAAGCACGCACCAACATACCCAGCTTTTTTTTTTTTGTATTTTTAGTAGAGATGGGGTTTCACCATGTTGGCCAGGCTGGTCTTGAACTACTGACCTCAGGTGATCCACCCACCTCGGTCCCAAAGTGTTGGGATTACAGGCATGAGCCACTGCGCCTGGACTCAATGTTTCTTATTGGCTCATTGGCCAGGGTATGAAAATGCTTTATTGGGTGCCCACTATTTGTATTGCCGAATGAATTCCAGATCTAGAGAGTGATAAATAAAAAATAAACTGCATTTGCAACAACATGTCTCTGGACCCTCTCCACTCCATCATTGCATATGTAAATGGCTCTTGCTATATATTTCACTAGACCTTCAATAATTGTGTTTGGAACCTTAAATATACCAGGGAATTAAGAAAAAAACTACGTACCTGGATGGTTATCAGTAAAATGTCTAATGCTGTTGGCTCCTCAGGTGTTGATAGAGACTTTCTCTGGCTTTGCAGCTTTGAGATCTGCATCCATTTGCCATTAAAAAATGAATAAAGCATCTCCACCTCCCTGATGGTGACTATGAGTATGTTTCCATGTCGATCTTTAATGGGTTCATAGTAAACTCTTCCCAAGTTGTGTGTCCCAAGTAAATTCTGGAAACAAATGGATTACTGGTAGCATAGAGGGTATTATGCTAATAAAGCAGCACAACAGCAACAAAAGACACTGTAAATAATTATCTGATTGCTGAGAAGCTGTTTGCTCTCTCTCTCTCTTTTTTTTTGCACTTAAACCTAGAATATATGGCATCATAGAAATGTACTTCACAGAAACTCAAAGAAAATGTCTTTACAAAGACATTGGTAAAGATTGTAGAGCCTGCAAAGATTACAGCAAGACGCACAAAAGTTACGTTTTTTTTACAAAAAGCAAATTCAGTATCTGTAAATATTTCTTACCCACATAGACGCAACAGTACATAAACCTCAGTTACCAGCGCTTGAAGAGAATCCCAGATGTTTTAAAGAAAAATGTCTGATATTTAAAGTATGCTTCTGTGGAGTTCTCAAGAGATCTGCAGTAAGCTGGTATGAGGTGGGGTTGTTTAAAATGAAGAAGTGAATTGACAATGTAGCACATTGTACAGGTCCCCAAATGACTGCACATTCCCTTCAAGATACTTTCATTGGGAAATTGGCCTGGTTTGACTTATCTGTATTTCAGGGGCTTCTGTTTATTTAAAAACCTGTTAAAATTGCTTATAAACTGGGTCACCTGAGGCAGACAATACTTTTAGGAAGGTAGGAAGGGAAAGATGCCACACACTCAATGTGGAGGGGCTCAGGTTATTCCTAAAATAAACAGGAGTTTTACAAATATGCAGGCTTTGAAGATTTCTAACGTAGAACACTGGATGAATAGGATAAAATCCCCTCTTGCTTTAAATATCTATGATTTCTAAACATTATAAATCATCTTAGAGCTTCTAGCTGTTACTTTTGTGAGCTCACATAAGTGGTGGTGAGATGCCCTGTTAGCATGAATACAGAAATAGAACTGGGATTTGTAAAACTGACGAGGACAACCTAAAAATGAATGAGCCCGGAAGTCAATATCTACATCTATGAAAGCCCCGCAATTTTCCCTCACAGGTAGGGACTGTGTCTGAAACCTTATCTTCTTCCTCACAAAGACCAGACATAGGGCAAGTAAGGAATTTCATAAGTAATTTTTGACATAAAAATTCATTTAGCAAGATGATGATTTTTTTTGCAATGGCCTAATCACTGAGTCATATTTTTTCTTTCCAACATTTGACTTCTAAATCATAGAGAAGTGGATGAGGCTTTGAGTCCAGCCCTGTGGGGTACTAATAAGTAGAGTGATGTTGGTAAACTGGCTAGCCAAAAAGGAAAAAAAGAAAGAAAAGAAAAGAAAAGAAAAGAAAGGCCTGATTTGTAGCATATGCCAGTTTCAGTGGTATAAATACTCTTGCTGTAGTGGGATTTCAAACTACCCAGAGTTTGACAACACGCTTTCAAAATCCCTGAATATTTAACAGTTGGCTCTCTTGGGCCAGTACAAATTGGCTCCAGCCTACCATTGCGATTAAGCCTTTACTTATATTTGGTATTGAATTTCAGGGTTGGCTACCATTTATTAACTGTTGGACTTCCGAAAAATTATTTACCCTCTCTGGTCCTGAGTATCATCATCTAAAAGTAAGAGTCTTTACAGCTCAGACAGCTGTTATGCTAATCCTTATCTCAGTGAGTGTTTGAGGGATTAAATCAAGCAACTCATGAAAAAGTAGTTTGCAAACTCTCAAGCTTGATACAATGTAGGGTGGGGGCTTTCTTTACTGCTCTAATTGGAATCCCACCCAGGCTTACATATACTCCTTTTCAAGACCCATCCCAGATTTCAACTCCTCTGGGAAGACTTTTCCAACTCTCTAAGGTAGACTTTACCATCCCTCTTTTGTCCCTTACTGTTTCCTGTACAAAATTCCATCTTAGCATGTCTCTGGCTTTACTGCATGTATTGGCATATGAGTTCACGTTATGAATTCATAGTTGTTTCATCTCCGTGTGTCTGTGTCCCTTGCACAGTGCCTGCAACATGGAAAGAACTCAGTCACTTTTTGTTGACTTAATTGACATTTTGTATTATCATTAAGAGGCTGGAAAATGTGATTCACTTTGGACCAAAGCTGATGGGTAGACATTGATTATGGTGGTCTTTTCACTTAAACAAAGTTATTATCAGTGGTTCACTATCAGCTGTAGATAGGTTTTCTAAGGGGTTGAATAAGAAAGCACTAGAAGTCTTCTTGAAATTTTTTATTAACATCAAATTAGGTTAGATAGCTAGCTTTGGGGAGAGCCCAATTTAAAAGTAGAATATTGGCTGGGCGCAGTGGCTCAAGCCTGTAATCCCAGCACTTTGGGAGGCCGAGACGGGCGGATCACGAGGTCAGGAGATTGAGACCATCCTGGCTAACACGGTGAAACCCCGTCTCTACTAAAAAATACAAAAAAACTAGCCAGGCGAGGTGGTGGGCGCCTGTAGTCCCAGCTACTCAGGAGGCTGAGGCAGGAGAATGGCATAAACCCAGGAGGCAGAGCTTGCAATGAGCTGAGATCCGGCCACTGCACTCCAGCCTGGGCGACAGCGAGACTCCGTCTCAAAAAAAAAAAAAAAAAAAAAGTAGAATATTACTGTGAAAATAAATTGCAACCATCTTCCATGAGGGAGAATTCAGGGTTGTTTAGGGCCTAGAGGAAAAATAGACCATGTTAATACAGGTCATAATCAAAGTTAGGTGATCTGGGGCTCCTGATGATCCTACAAGAGCCACCTGATGGCTAACAGGAATGCATCTAGGTTATAACCAGGACAAATCACAGGGCTGTCAATAAGCCCTAGGCAGAGGCACAATATTTAGAGGCCTTTATTCAGTTTGGGGTGGCACAGACATGGGAAGGTGAAGGAAGTCCAGAGTTGGGATAAGGAGGCCTGAAAAAGAAGAGCAAAATTTTGGGAAAATCTTTTTTCCCCCTTAACAAATGTAAAGAACACAGTATTCATACATTGGTACTTACCTCTTACTCACTAATACTCATTTCTAAAAGCTACGGAGGAGGAAAGTTTAGCACAACCTGCAGTGTCAGAGTTTTACTGTCTTTGGGGGATAAGTAGTTTAGACACCTTTCAATACAAGAGCAATGTACACTTCTCCCTCTTGGGGCCCTGTGTCATTTTCCTAAGAGAAGGAAGAACAATGTGGGCTCTTGGTCACTTACAGGCTTTCTCATCTTAATTTTTGTTTCCCAAATGCTAAGATACTTATCTCTCCTCCTGCCTAGGTAATTTTAATTAAGAATAGACTTCTTTTTCTTTTTTACCATAATATGAGTAATTTTTTCTCTTTAAAATTTTGCAAATTACTACACAGTAAGATGATGAAGAACTGGAAAGAATGCAGGCTTTGGAGTTATATAAATCTGGATTTGAATCTAGAATCTGCTACTTCCTATCTGTGTAACCTTGGCACAAATGAGCCTTTCTAGGCCCTAGTGTTGTGATCTGTTAAAAGAATACCAATAATAGTACTTTCTCATTAGGTTGCAGTAAAGATGAAATGAGATTAAAGTTTGTAAAGCACTCAACACAGTGCCTGGTACCTAGTCTGTTAAATAAATGCAAGTGGTCACTTCATTATTATTATTTACTATTATATATTAAAGGAGCTCACTAGAGAGCAGAAACCCAGAAAACAAGGTGCAGATTGCACAGTGCTTGATATGCACTGTGATAAAGGTAGGTCTCCTGACTTGGACACAGTGACTAACCCAGTGACTATGAGTGCAGATGAGGGGGAGAAAGATCATGACTGAGGCCTTTGTGCGCTGTGATAAAATGTCTGAGCCACAACCGGAGGAGTCTAAGTCAGAGAATGCCTTGGTCAGAATCTTTTAGATTGGCTACTCTGGCCAGAGTATGGAGAGTGGATTGGAGGGTGTTAAGATTGGTAGCAGAGGGATGACTTTGGAGGCTTTTGACCTAATTGGAGTATTCAGGCAGTAGTATACAAAACTGGAAAGGAGAGGAGAGTAAAATGAGATGCCCCAGAGGAAAATCAATAGAATTTATTTTTGGTTGATGCCAATCAAACTATGTATAATGCATTTTTACTTTCCTCAGAACACTGTTATTTTACTTTATTTTATTTTATTTTATTTTATTTGTGAGACAGAGTTTCGTTCTTGTTGCCCAGGCTGGAGTGCAATGGTATGATCTCAGCTCACCACAACCTCTGCCTCCCCGGTTCAAGCGATTCTCCTGCCTCAGCCTCCTGAGTAGCAGGGATTACAGGCATGCACCACCACATCCAGTTAATTTTGTATTTTTAGTAGAGATGGAGTTTCTCCGTGTTGGTCAGGCTGGTCTTGAACTCCTGACCAGAGGTGATCCTCCCGCCTTGGCCTCCCAAAGTGCTGGGATTACAAGCGTGAGCCACGTTGTCAAATATTTTAAATTAGTAGAGTGATCTAACTTATTAACTATGTGTCAGTCCTCAAATTTCTTTTTCTTTCCCTTCAGAAAAGTTTCTCTGTACCTTACACCTCCCTTCCACCTCTCTTACCTCCCTCCCCAACAAAAGGTGCCTTCAGTATTTCCAGACATTTTCTTTGTAGAGACTAGTAAATAGTTTGGGCAATAGGTGCTACCAAAAAAAGGTGATGAACGCAACTTTATCATTGAACTAGGCATACGGAAACTTGGAGAGAAGGGCATGCATACAGTACTCAGGCCTTGATGGGGCACTGTGAAGGTGACCATTTATTGAAGACTATGAGGCTCTCTGGTCACAGTGCAGGACTGGAGAGCTATCCATCCAGGTGATAACTATGCTACAAAACATTTCTGTGATCCCTTTTCCCTTTGGCTAAAGTTTCCCTCAAGTGTGAGCATTGGGGTACATGGGTTTGGATTGACAGATATGTTTATTTATCCAACCTGTACTTACTGAGTGTCTACCACATGCCAGGCATTGGGGATATAGTGGTAGCCAAGACAGACACATTCGCTGAGCTGAGGAACTCACAGTCCAAGTGGGTCACTAAACAGATAATAATACAGATAATAAACTCTGGGATTCTGATCACTTTCCTGAATGACGAATACGAGGTGCTATGAGAGTGATTCACTTAATCAAGGGATCAGAGAAAGGCTCTTTAAGGAAGTATAAAAATTAAGCTGAAACCTGGAGGATATGTAGGAATCAGTAAGGCAAAGTGAGGAAAGAAGGGGATTCCAAGCAAAGGAAACAGCTTGAAAACTAGCAAAGGATACTGAGAAAGACCAGCAAGTCGGAAGAAAATCAGGAGAGTGTGAAACTGTGGAAGCCAAGGGATAAGCCAGTCTACACAAGGAGTATGGAACCAAGCGTATAAAATGTTGCTTAGTGAAACTGAAGTCATTGGCAAGACTAGATCCAGGTTTTGTGGGGGCCTGAACCATACAATTTTGAGGCACTCTTTAAGACAAAGAATACAAAACTACAAAAATAAAACTAGGTATGAAAGTGACTCTTTATCTAGAATGATTAAAGAAATCTCCTCTCCAGCAAATACTAGAGTGTTTGGAATTCTGGGTCCCCTTTGCCCCTGAAATTTCTTTAGGTAGTTTGCAAGAAATGCTTCCTGACTGCAATCCAGCTTCCCTTCCGTAAAACACTGTGGGTTCCACACTCACAGGGGTCCCACGCTCATAGCTCATGCAAGTGAGGTGTCCTGAAGCTCCATTTTGGCAGCATCATCTGCCTCTGATTTCTGGTGCCCTTAAAGACCAGTTTTGTATGTATCACGGTAGCTAAAGTCAGAGAGAGGGTTGAGAACCGATAGAAAATGAAGATGTCAGTGGAGAAAGAGGATGTTGGTAACTTTTCCAAGAAGTTTGGGTGTAAGGAAGAGAATAGTTTGGTAGCTGAAGGGGCATGTGGGGCTATGGGAGGAATTTAGGGGGAGATTTAACTGGAAAGACTTGAGTATTTTAAAATAAAAATGAGAGGGGAGAGATGGGACCTAGAGCACATGTGGAGGAATGAACTTAAGTCAGGAAATGTGAGACTTTATCTTCTGAAATAAAAAGGAAAAAAAAGAAGGTTCAGTCTGTGCAAGGAGGTTTATAAATTTGGCAGAAAAAATCATTAATTTCCTTTTTTTCCTTCATGAATTATACAGTGAAATCATCACCTGAGATGTGAAGGAGAGTGTGGGGAAGGAGAAGGGATGTGGGAGAATGAAGAAGGTTTTTATTTTATTTTATTTTGTTTTATTTTTTTTGAGGCAGGGTCTTACTCTGTTACCCAGGCTGGAGTGCAGTGGCACGATCTCAGCTCACTGCAAACTCTGCCTCCCAGGCTCAAGTGATCCTCCCACATCAGCCTCCTGAGTAGCCAGGACTGCAGACATGCATCACCACGTCCAGCTAATTTTTGTATTTTTGGTAGAGATGGGGTTTTGCCATGTTGCCCAGCTGGTCTGAAACTCCTAAGCTCAAGTGATCCACCTGCCAGCCTCCCAAAGTGCTGGGGAGAAGGTTTTAAAATAGTTGCTTTACAGTGTGAGAAAGCAAATTTAGTAGAGAAAGGAAATTGGACCACTAGGTAACATTACATGTGAGAATTGTAGTCATGAATTTAACATAAAACCAGTCAGCCCTTTTTTGTGATTTTTTAAATGTAGCAATGTGTAACTACTTTAGACATGTTGGATTCATCCAGGCGTGGGATTTTTCCAAATAAATAATATGAAGGGAAAATATGGAATATTTTCAAGGAAGTGATTAAGATGGGCTAAGGAATCTAAGCTGGTCAAGGAAGGAAATGACTTCAGAAGTGGGCTGATGCATTATGAAAAGGGGTGAGGTCTATAGATTTGGAAGCTGAGGAAGTCCAAAAGTATTGTAATGGGAGTAGTTGAGTAGGGTCACACTGGCCATCATTGCGTCACTCAGTGTCTGACTGCACTGACTTGTAACAGCCTGATCCTTCTCATATTGCTGATATGAGATTAAAGTTCTAAGAAACCTCCAATAAATACATAATAAAGAGCCCCCCTTGAAATTCTAAGGTTTTCCAGTCTGTGATCCAGGCATGGCTGGGCTGTATGGTAGGGTGATGGGAGGGTCCACTAAGGAGTCTGAGGCTCTTGGGAATGTATTTTATCCTAAAGAAAGAGTAGCGTGAGGTGCAGTGGCATGGGGCAACTCAAGTGGGTCAGTGATGAAAGGACGAGGCACTTTGAATTCAGCAGTCATCATGGTCTGCTCCAAGAACTGCTTCTTGAGTTGGAAGAGAAGATTACGCAATCAAGAGTGAGTTGAGGCCAGGCACAGTGACTCACGCCTGTACTCCCAGCACTTTGGGAGGCCGAGGCGGGTGGATCACCTGAGGTCAGGAGTTCAAGACCAGCCTGGCCCACATGGTAAAACCCTGTCTCTAGTAAAAATACAAAAATTAGCCGGGTGTGGTGGTGGGTGCCTATAATCCTAGCTACTCGGGAGGCTGAGGCAGGAGAATTGCTTCAACCCAGAAGGCAGAGGTTGCAGTGAGCCGAGATCACGCCATTGCACTCCAGCCTGGGCGACAGAGAGAGACTCCACCCCATCCCCCACCCAAAAAAACCCCGAGTGAGTTGAAATGAACAGCTCTGTTTGCTAAAATCTCACCGATCATACAAAGCAGCAAGCAACCTGTGTAATAGAATATATCACAGCGGAGCAAAATTTAAATTTCGGAATTAATTGTAATAGCAACAAAATATTGCAGGAAGTTGAATTGTTATGATTGTGAGGGTTCAAGAAATGACATTCATATAATTGCAGGTGGGGGACAAAGCCATATAATTTTTTCTTTTGTTATTATGACCCTATTTTTATGCTGTGACCTACATGGCCTGGCCAAACACAGCTTACATAGATTCCTGCTATGCATATTTCTGGGGTTGATGTAACTGCAGATTTGTAGGTAGATACCCATTACTGATAAAGGCTCAGTGATCTCTTAACGGCCCCAATCCCATGTAGCAGCTATTTTTTTTTCTGTGCTAAGATCTACAAATTCACTTAATACTAGAAAACAGTAAGACGAAAACTCAGAAAATCTTGGTTAGAATTTAATGTTACTTCTAGGAGGAGCTCTGTAACCTACAAAGATTGGGGCCTTGATCTGATGTGATTGAGAATATGGAAGGATAAATAAATTCAGGCTTAAAGATAATCTTTTAAGAGTTGCTTTCTGTTTGTTTGTTTGTTTTTATAAGTAAGCAAAAATGTCTGTGCTTTACCAAAATCATCACACCAAGAAACTGCTCAAAATATCTGCTCGTCTCTTTTTTCCATCTCCATATACCCATTAATGCATAGGACACCAGAGCAGCAGCTGTCCTTCAAGTGATCTCATTAAAGTTCTCTTATTTTGCAGGTGATGAAACTGGGGCCCAAAGAGGAGAACTGAGTTGGCTGATTAATATCAAATCTAGAACTCAAGTCTCCTTACTCTTTGTTTAATGAGTTACTCCTATACACTGTTCAAGAGAGACTCACTTAGAGGAGATTGCTAAAGGTACAGTTTTGCTACATGAAACCTGCACACCTACAGGGATGCAGCTCCAGCTGTTCAAGAAAACTTCATATTCTTAGGGGTCTGAAAGAGAAGGGAGCCCACATTTCCCTTTCTAGGTGGGACTGGTAACTGAATTTTCCACGTTCAAAGTATTTTCCTTGGGGGCCTGGGTTGAAACCTGGTCCCTTACCTGTAGCTGTGCTGTTGCTGAAAGCATCTTCTGCCGAGTTTGCAGCACTGTGGATGAGGATGAGGATATTGGTACGCTTTGTCTCAGCCACCTTATATCTTCCCACATACAAGACAGCTGCAAAAGAAGGCACACAGTCATGTCATCGTCCAAGCTAGTACATGATTTAGGTTGTGGCATCAAAGCAAAGCAGGGAGAAAGAAATCTGACCCCTGATGTTTATTCTCCAGTCCATTTTCAGACACACACGAAACAACTTTTTGATCTCTGTCCAATTGGAAAAAGATCTGAATGCTAATGAAACGGTCAGATCCACATTTTAGTCTTTGCCAAATGATCCCATAACTCAGAACAGTGGAGACACATTGTGATGGGATGCAAGCCTCTTTGCTTTGAAAATGTAGTGTACATGTTACTTTGGTGCTTTTTTAAATACGACATAGGGCATGCTAGGGCTGAAAAGGACCTTTGAGATACTTTATTTCTACTCCAAAACTTTGATCGCTGGAGACCCCTCAACTAATGTTTCAGAGATTTGTGTGCAGCAACATTGGTACAAAGTAGAGAAAAATGAAATCAGAACTTAGCATACCTTCGTGAACCACAGAAAATCTGGTGTAATAGAACTGGTGTGAGAGTCATCTATTTCAACAATTGGTACTTGGTCTTCATTGGTGACTAAGATATTGTCTTTATAATAAAATATAACGGCTATGTAGAGTCCCCTAAAAAGAAAAAGGAAAATAAAAGTATTGTCCTCAACTATCTTGGAAAAATACTTGTTTTGGATGTGATAAAAGATGAATTTAAAATATACCTAGGAACACACTCCTTCTAAGCATCACAAGTTCACTAGTTACAACTCAGAGAGAAAATTACTGTCTTGCACAAATTCTCAGGAGAAAAGTGAACTTTATTCTTTTGAACACAAAAAAGAAATTTCTACCAAGTTTCCACTCAGAACCAAAACCAGCGCACTCTTGAAAAGTTAAGATTTCCTGAAAAAACTACATAGAACCCACCGTTTTAAGGTCTTCACAAACTTGTTTGAGGAATGGAACAGGTGTTTCAGGCTCCTTGAGACTGACTGCTTGCGGCCTGTGGTTTGTAATTTTGTACTTTCTGGAATGTATTTTAAAAAATACAGTATAAATTCCACTGGGCAGATCAACACTCCCAATTCTGTCTTCCTACCTTCCTGCCTTCCCCTCCCCCATCCCTTTAGTGTCACTTATCCTCAGGTTCATGTAGGGATTCTGCTCGTTCATGCCTATAAGAAGCTCTTGTGGCCGGGCGTGGTGGCTCTCACTGGTAATCCCAGCACTTTGGGAGGCTGAGGGGGGCAGATCACGAGGTCAGGTGTTCAAGACCAGCCTGACCAACATGGTGAAACCCTGTCTCTACTAAAAATACACAAATTAGCTGGGCATGGTGGCATGTGTCTGTAATCACAGCTACTCAGGAGGCTGAAGCAGGATAATCGCTTGAACCCAGGAGGCAGAGGTTGCAGTGAGCCGAGATCGCGCCAGTGCACTCCAGCCTGGGCGATAGAGTGAGACTCCGTATCAAAAAACAAAACAAAACAAAACAAAAAACCTCTTGTATCTTGAGATGCCAGTAGTTAACTCAATGAACAACTCCTCAAAAATGCTGGAGATAAGTAGTATTTATAACTGCAGAGGAGACCACCTGTGTGTTCTGTTGATACTCTTTGCTTGGAAATTTTTGATTTATTTTAAGGTAGGATAAAAAGACATGTAATCAACTCCTTTGCCCTTCTCCCTACTCCCGCAATTGCCTTCTAATATTCATACAATTCTCAATGCTGCTAAAGCATTCCCTGTAAGTCTACATATTCCATTAATTTTTTTCATTATAAAATTATTATAAGCACATTACAGAAAGTCTGGAGAATAGAAAAAAAAAAGAGCAAAACCCCACCCATATCATCTCTTCACTTCTATATAACCACTGCTAGCATTCGGGAACAGTTTTTTTCTTCATTGTGTATGTTGGTTTACAAAAATGGGTATAGGGACGGGTATGATTATCATCCTCATTATTCAGAAGAAGAAACTGAGGCTGAGAAGTGAAATGAATTGCTCAAAATGTGAGTACCTGGGAAAACAGACATTCATTAATTGGACAAATATTTATTGGGGGCACTACTATGCATCAGACTCTGCAGCTACAGTGGTAAGCAAATAATTCATTGCCTCTGTTCAGGTCTTCTGCTTATAACATGGAGCTTGCCCTAATAAAGGTAGTAGACTTCCTATACTTCCTATAACAGCCTTTGCAAATAATATTGCGTGGAGCTGGACTACATTATCACTATTGTAACTCTCATATTCTATGTAATGAAGGGAAGCTGAGGTTGTTGGCATCACCACCAGACTGCTGACAGACATGTCACTGGAGACGAGAATATGGTCCATATCACTGCTGTTAGGCATAGAAGCCTGGGCAGGTGGCCCATGACGGAGGGCCAGTGTGTCTTTGGTTATGATTATATAGGAACAGCTGACTGACACAAGCGTTCATGCCAGTTTCAAGCTTGTGTTGGTAATGGTTATTCCTTGCGGAACACAGCAAAATCATTCTTTTTTTCTGACTTGAACATGAGTTTGGCTGCTTGGAAATAATGCTGCTGGGACTTCCAGTTAAATATGCAAGAGTGAACATGTTTGTTACATACTGCCCTTTCCCTAAACCTCACTAAAAGCAGAGTAGAAATTAAGAAAAGAAGGAAACAACATAAATTTTAAAAGACAAAGTGATGGGAAAGGAGACAAAAGTTAGTAAATTTCAGTAGCTGGAAAGCAGATGGATAGAAAGATTTAAGACTTAGACAGATGAAGTCGAAGGCAGCAGTGGAGAAAGTTCAGAAGTGATCTGATTCACTCCATGGTCTCCATGGACTGCTCAAAGTGAGGGGTGAGTGTGAGCTAAACACCAGAAGAATTTGTGGAAGTCTGTTAAAAAAATAGTTAGACTTCTTGATCTCCTCCCTTGTTATATGACTGGACACATACCTCTTCCCCACTCTAGAAGAAAGCTAGTGGCTTGTTCTCTGGAAGTCAACAGATAAACAAACAAAAACCCAAAAGAACAACAACAGGCATCTCTGGAATGGGAGACACCAGGTAGTGTTGAAAATGGGGTGCTGATGATGGTGGTAGTGTACCCCAAATGGGCAGATTTATGCATAAGTTTTTATACATAACATTTCCCTATTGAGTTCTCAGAACACTGGTGTCCAAACTTCTACCTTCCAAGCAGGACACTGGAAGAAACTTCTGTGGAAAATTTGACCAGCCTAAGAGAACCTACCCAAAGATTCCGACATTGGGAATATCCCAATGGAAAGGTGGTACCAGGTCACCTTACAATGAATCCTGTAAGTAAAGAGCCCTATGCGTGTGCTCAGAGCTTCCCAATGGCTATTGTTTCCCTTCTCTGAAATCTGAGTATTCATTGAAGGATCACCAGGCAGTTGAGAAAAGCATCTAACATGAAATACAAAGGCCAAAAATTAGTGAACAAAAGACGAACTTACACAAAAGAAAGATTATTCTGAGAAAAGAAAATGTAAAATGAAACAAAGCCTGCCATTAATATTCTGAGAAGTAAGAGAAGACTTGCATCCTTATAAACAGAGTAAGAGTCTATAAAAAGAACCAGAGGACAAAAGAGAGCACTGGCGATTAAAAACATGTTGTCAAAAGCTGAGAAACCCAATAGAAGGCTTAGCAATTAAAGCTGATGAAATCTCCAAGAAAGTAAGGCAAAAGCATGTAAGGATGGAAAGCAGAAGAAAAAAAGAAAAGAAAATTAAAGGACGAATGTAGGAGAACCAAAATCTGAATAACAAGAGTTCTAGTAAGATGGAGGAGAGGAAAAGAAGGCAAAGAAATACTTAAAGAAGTAATTTAAGAAAATGTCTCACAATTAAAGGGTATAACTTTTCATGTTGAAAGGACTTTCCAGGTGCCCAGTATAACAGACAACAGATGCCTTAGTACATCACTGTGAAATTTTAGAACATTGGAGTCAAAAGAAAACTTAAAATCTTCCAAATAGGGGAAAAAAAGGTTTCATATAGAACCTCTGGAATTAGAATGACATCAGATTTAGTCCTGAAAGCTGGAAAACAATGAAACAATACCTTCAAAATACGAAAAAAAGGATTTCAACCAAGAATTCTATACTCATCCAAAACCTTGAATAAATGTTAAGTAGAATAAATACACCTGTAGATATACAATGTCTCCAAATATTAGTTCCCAAGCCCCCTTTCAGGATGCTGCTAGGGGGAAAGCTCCACCATGCGACACAGAAAGAAGGAACCCAATACTGGAGAGTGATAAGAAGAGTCCTCAATACCATGGTAAAAGGCAATCCAAGGGTGACAGTTGCACACTAGGCAACCAGTGACCAGTCTAGACTGGAGCAGGACAGAGGACTCCATGAATGTTTCCTTAAGAAGAGGCAATAGAAACACCTAAAGCATCTGATTATATTGAGAGAAGACTGATCCAATTTGAGAATAGTTTGGGGATTAATTATTATAGCCATAGAGAAAAACAAGCAAATGCACAATAAATGGTTGTTAACTCAGGGAAAACAAAAAGCTATACAGGAAAGGAAAATAATCATATAATTTATCATTATAATGTAAACAGTAAATACTGATCTTACTAAAATTCAATATACATATATTTGGAGATTGAGATGATAGGAACTATGCATGCAAAGAAGGGAGGGGTAGGGTAAAAAGAGATGCATCATTACTTTCTTTAGTGAGGTAATGACTAAAACTGAAAAACATAATTAGAAATATGAGCATGTTATTTAGAGATATGGGGAAAATACTAAAAGAATTAGCTAAAGGTTAAGAGGTTATCTTTGGGGAGGAAGAAAATGGAAGAAGGAAGAAATTGCTTTTAAGAAAACATTAAAACTGTTTTAAGTGTTTTACTGAAGTCATTCAATCCTTAAACAATGAATGAATGAGGTATATATAATTATTATCTGCATTTTAGAGATGAGAGAAATGAAGCACAGAGTTGTTTAGGCAGTTTGCTCAAGGTCACACAGCCAGCGAGAGTAAAAGTACAGCCCAGATTTGAACTCACGCAGTCTGGCTTCAGAGACATATTATAGTTATATATAGCTTACATAAAAATGAAGATTAAACTAAAAAAATCAGACTAAAAATAAAAAGAGAAAAATAAGAAATACTACTAACAGCTGGGAAAAGGGCACATGCAAGCATTAAATATTCTAGGTCTGGTCACATGGTAAAACTGTACTTTGGAGCCCTTGTGGTTGAATGGGGCCATGTGACCACCTCTGGCCGATGAGTTTTGGGTGTAATAACATGCAGAAAGTCTTGCCCATATGAGACCTTCAAGAGTTTTTTTCCTCTCTCCTATGGTTGCTGGCAAATATTTCCAGAGAGAGGATGATAACAACACAGAAGGACTCCCACTGATCAGTGGAAAATGCATAGCATGAGGGAGAGAGAAAGGTTTGGGGAATCATTTGGTTATTGTAACATAGTAGGGTTCACCTTGACTGACACATGGTCTAAACTAACTTTTCTCCTAAGAACCTTGCGGCTTCTCTACTGTTCTTCTCTGCTTGGTTTGGAGCTCTGGAGCAACAGTTCATTTTCTGTACTCTGAATGCAGTAGTTCCCTAGCTTGTAAGTGCATGGAGTATAGGAGTTTACTTCATTCATGTTGGCATGTCTAGCCCCTACTATGTGACCTACAAATTACATAGTAGGCAGGGTTCCAGTTAATATTGTTTTGCAGGTTGAATAATTGGATAATAATATAAATTCATCCCTATAGGATATTGCTATGATGAACATGATTGCTGTTTTAATATTGTAATTCATTATGTATGCCAGTGTACTCACCTTGTGAACAATGAAGTTAGCTTAACATCTCCCTCGAATTTTCATCCCAGTGCTAAGCATGCAGATCGGCTTTGGCCAGTTCTTTAGCCAAAATGTAGAAATTAATGTAGATGTCGGTACCTCTTATTTAGGAGTTTAGTAGGAGAAGTGATTTTTATTATTACTCCCATATTTGGAATATGTTGTATAGTTAGTGAGTCATTAGAGGGTCATTACAGTTCAGTTACCAATTACACTTCAATTCTAGGGAATATCCATAAAGTGCTGAGGATGGACAGTGGCTCCATTCTCAATGGGAGAAAAGTAAGCCATAGTTTGCCAGGTAAAGACTGCATCAGGTGAATTTAATGCACCTAATTTACTCTTCATAGCAATCCTGCAAGATAGGTAATATTATCCTGACTTTGCTGATCAAGAGGCTGTGGATCAGAGTGGTGAAATGCTCTTCCCAGTAATGAACAGCTTGTAAGTGGTAGAATTGGAATCTGAAATAATTACTTTTTCTAATTGTAAAGTTGGTAAAAGTTTATGTCCCCAAGAAACCACTTAGTATTTCAATGTATTTGAATATTTTAAATAAAAATGTTGTAATAATAAAAAATAATGAATAATAATTTGGTAATTCTCTGTAAGCAATACATATATTATCCTTCATTTATCCTTCTGTACTTAGGGTTATGTTAAATCATCTTAGATTCATTCTTTGTGTGTGTGTGTGCGAGGTAATTTATTTTGGCATATTATAAGTCAGCATTTCCCAAAATTTGTGCTTTGGAATACCGATACTGTGAAAAAGTTTTACATGGCTAAAGAAGTTTGGAAAATGCTTGTTTAAGCAAATGTGATATGTCTCTTTATTGGAGTCTTTAATATTCTAAAGTATATTTTAAATTTCTAAGAGAAGATGTAGAATTCAACATTTCCAAAACTTACGTGACAAGAGAACCTTTTTCAGCTGAGCATATTATTGGACCACTGATCTTTGGAACATACTTTGAGCACTGTTTAAGTGTCCAGAGTATATTTCATATAACATATATTCTTCTTTGTTGGAAAGTTCTACCTCATGCCTTACTTAAATCTTTCCTGATATTGTGAGCAGATTTACATTCCTCTGGGGGAAAAGCATGTACATGACAGAAGTTGGATGGAAACTATAGAAACGATTGGGCCATCTAGGAAATAATTTTTTGATTATTAGATAGGAATCCAGTGGTAATAGGGAGAGCATGAATTCTCAGACAATATTAAAAAAACTCTCATTCTCACGAGTAGTTTCAGCTTTTCCCCTTCTGATCAAGACCAAACACACAGTGGCTTATGATTTTCCAAGAATCATCTGTCCACTTGCTTTGTTGCCTTTGCTGTCACACAGGAACCAATGGGCAGGGATGTGACGGAGAGGCAGAAGATGAGAAAGGAGCTTTGGTAACAACTGGCCTGGTTAAATGAGCCCTCAATAACCAAAAATTAAGTAGGCTTCAGTCAGTGTGGAATATACTGAAGGTCCTGGTCTGGGTAAAGACTTCTTAGAGATCTGGGAAGGGAAATCCCACTTGGGTTTCAGAGCTACTCCATGCATATTTACATATCCTAATGAACTCGTCACTAGAAGAATATTATTTTCTTGCAAACACTTGTCCTCATTTCTAGCTAGAGCCTACATTGCTGAAGGACCCTACTGTGATAGCTATGTAGTAATTGGGAACAACCTTTTACTAACGCTCAGTATGATTTCTCTATAGCAAGCTCAAACTCAGTGAGTATCTCTTAGTTTCAATTGTGGATTTTTTTTTTCTTTTAAAAAATTGTTATTTTTAGAGACAGAGTCTTGCCCTGTTGCCCAGGCTGGAGCACAGTGGCATGATTATAACTCACGGCAGCCTCGAACTCCTGGGCTCAAGAGATCCTCCACAATAGTGGATTTCTTACCCAGCTGTTCCAGCAGTGCCCTAAATCTACAGAGCACAATGCAGTTAGAGATCTGATGGGGGCATGGAAAATGAAAACTTTATGTAGGCTTTAATTCTCCAAATAAAACTAAGTACCTCTTCCACGAATCGTTACACAGATCAGAAATCTGACCCTGTCCCAATTGAGCAGCCCGAGTAGAAAAGAAGCTTTTAAAGCCTTCTCAGAGATTCTCTGGGTGTAGCTGGTAAAAGTCTAGGGAATATGTGCTCTACTTTCCTGTGAGCAGTGGTGCAGAGGAAGATTAAAATTCAGGAGGAGGTTACAGTTCAATACCCAGTCCTGATGTAAGGGTGCGGGACAAAAATGAAGCGTGTCAGGAAGACTGGACTTAGAACCAGAAAAATCCAGCTTGGAGTCCTGATTCTGTCTTTTCCTGGCACTGTGACCTTGGGGAACACCACTTAGCCGCAGTGGTAATTGCCAAAATGAGGATGAACATGAGATACTGGGTGTGAGATTGCATCGTAAACTATATTATTAATAAATATGGAGGTTTATTATTATTATTGTTATTATAATTGGTTTGGTTCCTATAGGGATACTCAGGGGATTTTCCTTGGAGGCAAAATGTTTTTGGGTGAATATCCCAAAGAGCTAGCCCCACTGAGGAGTCTTGTGAAGGGACAATTCCGAGAGAAGGGAACTCACGGCAGCTGCTGTTTTTCTTGTGCTTGTTTTCAAACCGTTCGGACAGAGGGAGAGGGAAAGGAAGGGAGGGAAGGAGAGAGAAGTCTCTTCTGAAGGGTTAAAGCAAGATAGTGCTGTAAAGTGATTCCAGATGTACAAATATTAATATCTCTCTCCCTGATGAATGAGAAGGTATGACCCAGTTAGGAAACTGCTAAAATTACCGGCGCCACCGAGACCTCAGCTGATGGCCCGGCACAGATTTTTATCCTTACCCCGGCAACTGTAATGCTGATGAAGGGCTCGGACCTGCTGCAGCAGACCTTCCAAAACTTCACTCTGTCCCTTGTGTCTGGGCTCTCTGTCGTCATAGTCTTTCCAGTCTATTGAACAAAAGAAATAAACAGAGTGAAATTTTAAAGCAGGGGAGGCCTCTTCCTTGCCCTGCCTCAGGAGCCGGAGTTTTGCTCATACTACCCACAGACTCCGCGGATGAGTATCCTGCACATGCAGAGCAAGCGGGCGATGCTAAGGATTTGGAAGCTGCCATTGTTCAGAGCTCTGTGCAAAACAGTAATTGTGGTTGGTTTCTTGTGTCGAGCAGTCTTAGGGCAAGAGAAAATGGTAATTGAAGGCCAAAAGAAAACAGGAATTTGGGAGTCCAATCTCACCTCTTCCAACCCCTTCTCCCCTTTTAGCCTTCTATATCCTAACCAGTTCCTCTGCCATCTCTCCACGGAGCACCCCAAGTCTCAACTGGATTTTCACAGTAGGAAAGAAAGGGGTGGGAATGTGCAGACTAGATGAAATCCACAGTCCCAGTGCTTTTATTGTAGGTTTCACACTTTTGGCCAAATTGACATTTCTTTCCAAGGAAAGAGCCCATGTCAGATGCCAAGAAATGGAAATCTACATTTTGCTCTAATGAATGTCTGCTTTGGTTAGCTGGCACAGCAGCCCCTGCACATACTCTGAGCCACCAACCACCCTGTCTGCTCAGTCTCTAAATATACAGTATTAGCTTACAAGGCAAATTTAAATTGCAATACCCACTGAGATTTTTCTCCCCCTTCTGTTTTCATTCCGTTTAGCTATAATGATATCAAGAGTAATAACCCATATGGGACTAATGTCAAGATTGTAATTCTGCTGTCTCCAACTCTTGATTTTTTTTTTTTTTCAGCAGGTCAGTCATTTCAGAGTCCATCCCTTCTTCCTTCTATTTTCTTTCCTCCAGTTTTCCTTTCTGGAGGAAAAAACAGAAAGCAGCAACTTGATGTCCTTCTTAGTGGAGATGCTTTCAGTAAAATTGCTAGTCATTCTTCCCCAGAAAAGCCAGTTAGTTAATGAGTATATCTTGGGCTTAAATTCTAGTTGAACAAGTTTCAAACTCCTTCCCCCACAGATTTATTTTGAAATATGGGGTCTCTTTCATTCAGAAACTTAAGTAGATATCATGACAGTTAAAGTTATGTAAAAGCATTCCATAGTGGTTCATCCAAGGCCCGGGCATATAGCATAGTTAGGAGGACCATGGGTTCTGAAGTCAGGTAAACACAGGTGTGAATCCTGGCTCCTCCAATTCCTAGCTCAGTGTCTGCAGGCAAGTTACTTATACCAACAGGGCCTCTACTTCCTAACATGAAAAAATGAGGATAGTATCTACTTTGCAGGATACTTGTGAGGATTAAATGAGAGATATCTTAGGTATCTGGCACAATGCCTAGTACATGATAGGCATTCTATAAATATAACTTAAAAGGAAGGGAATTCATGACGGAAACACCATTTCTTACCCTATCAGATGATTACCTATGAAGAAGGGGGCCTCAGCGATTTTCTGATCCTTCTTCCTTTCCACCCTTCCCCATGTACCTGTCTTTATTTTACTTTTCAGAAGACCGGGACTGATATAACCAATCCAGTTGTATATGACTCAGCTTTTTAGTGGCACAGCCAGGGCAATAATAACATCTCCTGACCCTCAATATATTGCTCATTTCATATACCATGGACATGATTTTTATTTTTCTATTTTCTCTTGGGAAGGAAGGTCAGAAGCTTGGTTGGCGTTTGTGTGATGTGGCTTAATTGTGGTCAATGCTGGAGACAGGGAATTGGCATAGGTACCTTTTGTAGAGTCTTTGTTCCTTGTGGTCAAGAACCATGACTTAATTTCTCTTTGCCTCAGATTTTTTCTTTGTAAAGTAAGGTTTTTCTTTTCCTTTTTTTCTGAGAAACAGTCTCTCTCTGTCACTCAGGCTGGGGTGCAGTGGCACAATCTTGGCTCACCACAACCTCTGCCTCCCAGGTTCAAGTGATTCTCCTGCCTCAGTCTCCCGAGTAGCTAGGACTACAGGTGTGTACCAGCAGGCCCGGCTAATTTTTGTAGCTTTAGTAGAGACAGGGTTTCACCATGTTGGCTAGGCTGGTCGCGAACTTCTGACCTCAAGTGATCCACCTGCCTTGGCTTCCCAAAGTGCTAGGATTACAGGCATGAGCCACCGTGGGCCTGGCCTGTAAAGTGAGGTTTCTGTTTTTGTTTTTTCGTTTTGAGACGGAGTCTCATTCTATTGCCTAGGCTGGAGTGCAGTGGCGCAATCTCGACTCACTGCAACCTCCGCCTCCTGAGTTCAAGCGATTCTCCTGCCTCAGCCTCCCTAGTAGCTGAGACCACAGGCGTGTGCCACCACGCCCGGCTAATTTTTGTATTTTTAGTAGAGACGGGGTTTCACCATGTTGTCCAGACTGCTCTTGAACTCTTACCTCACGTGATCCACCTGCCTCGGCCTCCCAAAGTGCTGGGATTACAGGAGTTTTTAAGTCTCTTTTTAGTTTGTCTGAGGTTTAAGAAAGCAAAGCACCATCTGGGGCACAGAGCAGAGTCATTAAATGTTGGTGAGGTGTTGTGAATAGAAGCATGATGGTGTTCAGTTAGGATAAGGTACGAAAGGATTTTTACTGGGAAGTTAAAAAATGTTTGAGGAAATAAACACTCGGTATCCTTTAGATCGTTTTTAGCACCCCCAGAATTGGGGCACAGTGAGAATAAACGTTGCTCTCATAGATTCCCACAGGCCATTAGGAGTTTGTTCTCTTAGTTGGATGAATGCATCTGACATGCTCATGATCAGATAAGCAAGGTTGTGTGTTTGAGTAAGACTCCTAGGTGGCTGAATTACTACGCGTCCCTGAACATGCTAATGCATTCTAAGGAGTGTGACTGCTGCCATCAATGCGAGGAGAGCTGAAATAGGCCTGTCTCTTTCAGCCCTATTACATCAGAGGCAAGCTCCATCTGATGACTTTATGATACATTAGAAAATTGCTAATGCTAAATTGCAGCCCGAGCGAGCACTGGACATAATGCCAAGGTTTTTGGAAAGAATGAGTTTTTCTCATAGATGTTTGGAAGGTTCTGACGACTACATAAAATAGGAGACTTTAGGGATGAGGGAGAAAATTGAAAATATATTAAGAAATCAGGAACCTGACAGGAATAAACTTAGCGTGGTAGGAAAAGAGCAGATTGTGCCACATAATACAGTTCACTGTTCTGGTAATGAGACACTTCAACTGCAACAAAATGCCGAGCTTACATTCACTGGCGATATCGGGATTTTCCTGATCGTAACTCAGACAAGCCTGTCTGGGTCCTTTTCTCTTATTATGCACCATACCATATAACATAAGTCTATAAAAACACATTAAGGCCTTTTGTGAAAATATTAAAAAAAAGTTTTTATAGCCTACTGGAACATATTACCAAATTTCCAATTACCCTGTCATGTTAGAATACATTGTCCTCTAGTAAATATCTGAATACCGATATATGTTACATCACAATGTCATACTCTGTTTATAAATAGGAGTGTTTTTATATTGTTCCTCCCAAGCGATAGGGCATGGCTGCAACAACTATAACCACATGTTAGGATTTCAGTTCTTTGTCAGTTATCCCTACTAATCAAACGTATCATTTTAGAAAGTGGTGGCTATTTGATATGTTAATTACCAGTTAATAAGTGACTCCTCCCAGTCCTGAACAACTATTGTGGTCATTCTGGAGACAGCACCTCAAATGGGCTGTGACAGATAGTGTCTGAATGGAACGTGCAGCTTATAGAAACTGAACCTCTGAACTTTATCAGCAAATGCATCTATATGGAGATCAGAACTTGCATTTGGAGTGGGGTTCCCCACCCACCTCCTCACTTTCAGGTCAACTGAGACTAGCATTTTTGTGCATTTTCTGTCCCTCCCATAATACACACACACTACTGGCCATCCCCAACATGAGATTGGTTCCTTTTATCTTAATCTTAGAATCCCCAGTTTGTGTTTCTGGCAAATCATTGGTAAAAAGACAACTAGAAATAAATGACTAGAAATAAAAAGGTGACTAGTCCAAATAAGACTAGAATGAAGAAGTCATCAAATGCCAGGAGAGTCAGGGACCTTAGGGATCTCAGGCATCGGTGGTCCAAGGCCCTGTCTGACCTGGTGTAGTTATCTGAATCCGCCAGAGATGGTAGTCAGGCATGGATGGCTGGCTCTTAGTCTGCCCGATAGCAGGGCAGTAGTTACTGTAGCCTCGGAGACATGCCAGAGCCTTGACCAATTCAGGCTGGAATCCTGGTTCAGCCATGTACCAGTGTTGTGACTTTTGGAAAGGCAACATCCCTGATCCCCAGTTCAGATGCTGGGCTCTGTGTATATATGCCTCTATGTTTATAGTTCCCTCATCAGTAAAATGAGCCTAATAATAAAAATCACCTCGAGAGGTACGTTAGGAAGATTAAATTAGTTAATCCATATGAGGTACTTAGATTAATGCCCTCCATATAATGAGTCTGATAAAAGTTCTCTCCAGTGCTGATAGAGATGCAGATGATAGTGACAATGATGCTTAGTTACAAGACAGAAATAATGATGAAACATTGCTGCAAGGATTAAGAGATACTGAATGTGAAAGCCTTTTACATACTGCCTGATTCGTGGCTGGTCTTGAGTAAATGGTTGTTATAAAAAAAATACACAGACATATTTTAAAAAACTAAAAGAGACCATAATCTCATAACCCAAATGTTCACTAATAAATTTGGAGAATTATTAAGACAATGGACACACCCTATCTAATTATATGCAAACCTACAGTTGAATGTCATGTGAAAAAAAAAATCCCACATTTTGCATTTTTTTTTAAACATAAAACATAAAACTTACACAGTAGGAGTTTTTTCTTTTTCCACACAATGAGTGTTTTCTAAAAAGACCATGTTTAGTGGTTGTAGTTACGGATATAAAGATAGATATATCATACATTACTACTAAATTAATATTGGATATTTGTTCTCCCTATCACACATGATGCTTCATTTTATGAATGCATTGCTACACACCATTGTACAGACTGGTTTGTTTGCATTTCTTTCTACTTAGGGTAGAGTCCTAGATGTAGAATTACGGAGTGAAAAGAAACAGATTTTCTTAAGGCAGTTGGTACAACATGGCAAACTGTGTTCCATAAAGGATGTAGCAGTTTGTTCTCTCACAAGAAACATATGATATCACTTTTAACTCTCACATTAATAAAGCGTTTTTAAAAAATGAAAATACAATTCGGAGCACTGGGTTCATTACATAGAAAAATCTATGGTATGATATGTCTGGAGATATTTATTCTGGCTAATTAAATTTTCTGGCTAATAGAGAATGCTGAAACATACCAGACATAGATTGTTAATTCTCAAAGAATCAGAAGGCCTTTGCTGGGTTTCTCAGTCACCACTACAAATGCCATAGATAATGTTTGTGGGTTGGTAGCAGAATGCTGTTAGTAAGGAAGCTTTTCTTCTGACAGAGGGTCAGATCCGTAAGATTTGTTAGATTTCATTTTCTTATCAGGTCAATATGGATGTGTGCCCTGCGGGTGAGGAAGGGAAGAGGAGAGCTACAATGAACTGTATGTACTCTGGGCCGCCACTCCCACAGTGGCATCTGATCCATCCCCACAAAAACCCTATGAACGGGTGTGGTTAGACTCATTCTACAGACATGGAATTGAGTCTCAGAGACTTGGTTTTGTTTTTTTCTTTAGAGGCAGGGTCTCCGTCCGTCCCCCAGGCTGGAATGCAGTGATGTGATCATAACTCACTATAGCCTCGAACTCTCTGACTCTTAGGCTCAAGAGATCTTCCTGCCTCAACCTCCCTAGTAACTGGGACTACAGGCATGAGCCACCATGCCTGGCTGTTAAACAACTTTTGAAGGCCACACAGATGATAAGAGGCATAATGAGTATCAAATTCGGCCTTTCTGTTTCCAAATTCCCTCTCCTTTTACTCCATTAAGCTGCTTCCCCAGGAGCATTTCTGCAGGGGAATCATTCATTATGTGGCCCAGATGCTGCCCTGAGAAGGTCTTATTGGTTGCAAGCAGTGGGGGAAGGGAACAGCAATGGCATCCTGAAGATGGAGTTGCAGTTGGAGTCTGTTACCGTGCTGGAGAGAGTTCACAGCCAACACCTACTAGAAGGAGAGGCACATGCCGGTGTCGTGGTCTGAGCAGGTCCCCATCCTTTCATATTGTAAGCCGAGACTTGAACATAATACTGTTGGCCCTGCAAAGTATTGAAATGATGCATCAGGCATTTTATTTGATCATTTTTACCCTAGACTCTATGGGCATAGAGTTTAATTACTATGTTTGATTAACTCCTTCATCTCTTTGAAGCTCTGTTGCCCATACTTTAACATTCTGGTTTTTCTTGATTATTATGTTTATATGTCACAGTAACCATATTTGAAGTTCCCTCTTAGTGTCTATGCACTTTCTTCTTTTCAAAACTTAACTATCATAATGACTTTTCCTGACCCCCCTAAAACTATATATAAACTTTTAAAAGTCACATAGTTCTACAAGGTTTACCAAAAATAGCAGTTTCCACTCTCACATCATTCTCCTTATTTGCCCCTTCCTATAGGCAATAGCTATCACTTCTTTTAGTGATCAACTTGCTTTGGAAAATGAGTAAGTTATAATAAACATCTTTTCAGAGTAATGCATTAAATACCTGCCTTGTTCTTTTTGTGGCTGCATACATTTCACTGGGAGCCAATATTCGGTATCATGTATTTAACCAGTCCCTGATTGGTGGACATTTAGATGGTTCCCACATTTTGTGCAGGGAAATAACTATGCTGCAATAAACATCCTTCATTCAGCTGCACACACATTTAAAAAAATTAACTCTTTGATGTGATTCAATTTCAAAGCCATTCTTAAAACAATGGCTTATATTCTTTAATGTTCTTTTGTGACATTAAGAATTAAGGAATTGTTTTTGTTGGCTGATCATGTTTTAAAATCTTTTGTATAGTTTTTATATTTTATATTTCGCCTTTATATATTTTCCCAGTGAACCCAAAGGGCACTTGAGAAGCCAGCATTTGATGAAACATTGCTTGTAAAAATCGTAAAAATGATGTTTGAAGTAAAAAAAAAAAAAAGCACATCTTTATAGAGACTTTTCTAGGGATCTTAAAATATTGACCTTACTATGTTAGGAAGTTCATTTTTTAAAGTTGAAAATAGGTTTCTATGCCCCTCAAAGTTATAGAGATTGTGTAAAAGTGTAAATCTACTCCTAGGCTTTTATATGATTACAATAGTGTCTGCGTTTCTATCATTAGATGGTCAAGTGGAAAAACTTAATCCCTATGGAAATTAGTTCAGATATTAGAGAAACTCTTTATGGAGAGTTTTCCATTTTTATCACCGTATCACTTTTTCTTTTAAGCAATGAAAATTCCCTAGGGTTCCTTCTGGCCCTCTTCCATCTTGTGAGCCATAGGGTTGGAATCAGTCTTCTGCTGATAGCATCTCTGGGGGCCACCCACTCAGGGGTTTGTTTGCTCTGGTAATCCACAGTTCTGGCCCCTGGTATAGATAATGCGATTAGGACTAAACGTCAGGATTCCGTGGTGATTACCCAAGCATCAAAAATTCCATTAGAATAAGCAGGTTTAAACTTGAAGAAATGCAACCTGATGCATTTTTTTTTAAGGCTAGGCTTTAGGATTATACTTTGTAAGTAACTGTTTTAATCAATCAACCTTTAAGAAAACAACAACAATAAGAACAAAATTATCCCTCTACTTCCCTCATCTGAAGGTCCTAAGATATTAAATATTTGAATTGGACTGAAAAGGTTTGATTTTACTTTTAAAATATTTTGAGAAAAAAGAATTTTATCTTTTGCATTTTAATTGCTTGAAGAAATACAGGGTTTGCTCCAGTTTGAACTGATTTACAAGGTGTTTTTATTTTTTTGCATTTCATATGCTCATATATTCATAATTCTAAATAATTAACTTTTGAGTTTATATTAAACAAATAAGCGCAGTTTGTTCCAGTTTTTCATTCACAATTTAAATTGGTTTAGGTTACTGAGAAACATAGCTCCACCATATATAGTTTCTTTTTTGTGAAAGCATATTTAGACATACCTTTTTTTTTTTTTTAAATCAAGGGAAAAGGATTTCTCTCAGGAAATTATGTGACTGCAATTGATGACTGATCTCAACCGAGGCTGAGGCTGTGGGCATGAGGGTGAGATGAAGCTGTTATTTTTACCATCAGACAGGGAGTCAAAATTGGATCTCTTGGAGCCTTTGATCCACTCCCTGCTTCCCCCCAAAAGATTAGACTGTGATCCAGAAAGCAGCAGCTTTCAAGGCTTGCATGAGGCCAGTCTTTTTCTGATCTCCTTAGAACACAGCAGTTTACAAAATGATTCATGCCGTCTGCTTACTCCTTTGTGAAATTCAGATTATAGATACCAGACATATCATGCTTAATGAGTGGCAGTTGTTGCCAGAGGACTGGGCGTTGGCTGTTGCTTTCAGAATAGGCATTTGCTACTAATATCCCAGCACAAATATCAGTGATAGAGAAATGGAAAGTCTACTGGGGACATTTACCATTGTAAGTCCTGTGATTGTGCATCTCAGAGTCTGCAGATTATCCATGATGATTTCTCCAGCCAAAGGAGAAAAGTCTTTGGACATACTCCATTCCACTGGAAAGAGGAGGGGGGCAGGGAGACAGAGAAAGAGGGAGAATAAAATTCAGTCACACATCAGAAAGTACCATAGAAACTCTGGCATACAATTCCTCTCAAAAAGGGTTAAGCGTACCCTCCTTTCTTTGTATTGGTGTTTCAGACAATGTTCCTTGAAATGCCAACTTAGTTTCCAAGTTCGCATTTTTTTAAAAAGAAGAGCAGAAAAGAATCATAAAACCTTATTAGATTTTTGAGCCTTGATAAATATAATGTATATTGTGGTACATGTACACTTATGTGATGTTCTTAATGTCAGATGTAAGTTATATTAAATATATTGCTCATGAGGCCATTGCCATATAAACACATTGTGTGTGTGTGCATTTGTGTGTGTATTTGTATGTGTATATGTAGATACACACACATACTCAGGCACAATACATATAGCAGTTTGTTCTATATAGTAGATAACTTATTTACTGCATTTGAGAACCAAAGGATCCACTAGGACATGACCTTCTATTTGCTCTCCAAGCCTGACATCTGCTTCACCATTCTACTGAAAATGCTCTCTTAAGGTCTGAGTGAGATTTTCATTCCAAATAAAGAAGCCTCCTTTCATTATCTCCACATCATTTGACACCTTCTCTTTCTGAAAACATTCTCTTCCTCTAATGCCTTATATACTCTTCCCTCCTCCTTCTCTCCTTCTCCTCCTTGATACCTTCTTCCAAGCCTTTTCATTGGAAAAGGGGTTTGTGGCTAAGGTGTTTCATGTTGTTCTCCCTTGACATCCCCAAGGTGAATGTTTATTCCTGGCTAAATCATGCAACTTCTTTTTTTTTTTTTTTTTTGAGACGGAGTCTCGCTCTGTCGCCCAGGCCGGAGTGCAGTGGCCACTGCAAGCTCCGCCTCCCGGGTTCACGCCATTCTCCTGCCTCAGCCTCCCGAGTAGCTGGGACTACAGGCGCCCGCCACCTGGCCCGGCTAGTTTTTTGTATTTTTTAGTAGAGATGGGGTTTCACCGTGTTAGCCAGGATGGTCTCGATCTCCTGACCTCGTGATCCACCCGTCTCGGCCTCCCAAAGTGCTGGGATTACAGGCTTGAGCCACCACGCCCGGCCCAAATCATGCAACTTCTAACACCCCATTTTACTGTGATAGCATATGCTTTCATCACATTTTCTATCAGTTGACAAAGCCATGGTCAGGAAAGATAAATTGTGCATCATCAGTAAAAAGTATCTTAAGTAATTGCTTATACCTGGTGGGATTTAAGGCAAGCACAAATGAAGCAGGGACTTAAGGGACTTAAATCCCATGAGAAGCAAGGCCTCTGTTTCTAAACTTTGTGATAAGCAATAGATCTTAAGATTTCAATGACATTCTCTACATAACACTTTAATACTTTAAAATCAAACCATCTCCAAAGCCTGCTGTGCCACTCAGAGTCACACAATTCCTCTGCTCTGGATGCTCCTGCATGCTCTCCTCTTCTTCAGAATGTTCCTGGGCATCTCACTTGCTTTCCTCACACTCTTGAAACTGCTGTCCTAAAATTCCTCATGCTTTGATCATCAGCAACAGCCTTTCCTTGGGAAATCTTGCCATGTTTGGCCTTCCTCACTTTGTGCAACCTTTTTCCGCCCTGGTTTTGGTTGCACCTGCCTTTCTACTTCTCTTACCCTTTAACTGCCTCTTTCTAGACTCTTCCTGGTTTTGCCCCTTCTCCTTCTCCCTTTGATGTGATGTTCCTTGGGAGTTTGATTGCCTGGTTCTCTTTTCACTCCACATGTTTGTCCTTGGTAATGACTTTATCCACTTTTATGGCTCTAACTATGAGTCTTAAAACCATAATTCTATGTCCAACCTCCCCCTTGAGCTCGAACTTCCTTCTGTTAATCTCTACTTGAGTGCCTCCCATTCTGAGGATCCCCTAAGTACTTTTTTTTTTTTTTACCAAAATATGTTTCTTCTCTTATTTCCTCAACTTTAGCTAATGGCACTGTCATGTATCCAGTCACTCAACCAAAAATCTCAGTGCATTCTTGTCTTCTCCTTTCCCTCAATTCTTCAAAATCAGTTCATCACTAAACTAAGCAGTTTCTGGTTCTAAAATGTCTCCTACAAGTTGCTCTCTTCCCCTGATACTGTGATTACCCCAAAGAATGACTTTATGAATATGAACATCAACTCTATAATAACTCTTTAATTGATTTTTCTGCTTGTTTCCTCATCCTTACATATAATCCTCTTAGGCTGGAGGACAGTGGCTCATGCCTATAATCCCAACAATTTGGGAGGCCAAGGCAAGAGGATCGCTTGAGTTCAGGAGTTCAAGACCAGCCTGGGCAACAAAATGAGACCCTATCTGTGCAAGATACACACATATATATAATATATATATAAAATAGCTGAGTGTGGTGGCATGCCCCTACTGTCCCAGCTACTCAGGAGGCTCAGGTGGGAGGATTGCTTAAGCCTGGGGTTCAAGGTTGCAGTGAGTTGTGACTGTACCACTGCACTCATCCTGGGCCACAGAGTGTGATGTCTCAAGAAAAAAAAATCCTTTTACTACGTCCTGAATTATAGTTGAAAAAATGAAGCTGTAATCATTCTATTCCTCCACCTAGTATCTTGTCATAGTGTCCAGTTGCTTTGAAATAAAATGAAATCTTAGGAAGGCATTCAAGGACCTTCTCATCTGGTCCCAACTATATATTATTCTTCTAAATTCCTGCCATTTTTCAGAAGAAAGTCTTTGTTCTGTAAGTCTCTGTTACCTGATTATTTTGTGCATTTTCTGCTTCTGTGGCTTTTCCCCATCTTCCAACTTCTGCTTGGTGAAACTCTACCAATCATTGAGGACCTAGGAAAGTCATCTCTAAATTCATCAGGAATAATTAATCACATACACCTGTTTTTCTGCTCCCTAAGTCCCTTGTTTCTGTAAAAATGAGATTTATTATAACGCATTATGTTTTATGGTATGTATCTCTTTCTCTTGATCATGAGAAACTTGAGAATAGGAAAAGTGTCATAAGTGTCATTCATTTTTTTCCTTTCTAGTACGTGGGTCTGTGCTTGGTGCATTGAGGGTGCTTATTTAATACTTACAAATCAAATGCATGTATATGTACACACACACACACAGACACACACACACACACCCCTAGAGTAGATTAGTTTTTCCCAACACAAAAATAATTTTCTTTGATGTGAATCTTCTCCTTTTCTAGTTTCTTGCCCCTTGAAGCTCTCAGGTACATTATATAATCTAGTTATAATCAAATGATTAAGATTATATATTAACTCAAATCGTATCTATACCTCCTTACAAATATGTATTTGAAAACACATATTTATGTTTATATATATGTATATGTATTACATATATGTTTCCATTTTTCAAAATGTTTTATTCCACTTACGAGCTACTAACTCTTGAGGAAGCCAAGTCTCTGAAAGTCAAATTGGGGAAGGTTTGCAATCAGAGAATAATGTTACACCTAATTTAGCTATGGAAGAAAAACGGTATGCTTGAGTAAGTTATAACAAACAGAACAAAACAAAAATGAGTAACAAATTTGCAAAGAAATTTAGGAAGAGCAAAGAATATAGGAAAATTCTGGAAACAAAAATATCTTTGGTTGCTATTGAAACAGACATGATTAGTTGCTGTGGTAGAGCTGTAAGCTGAAGGTTGAGAATCGAGGGCTGTGACTCCAGACTAAGAACTCAAGAGAACTTGCCAAAAGAAGAGCAAGGGATTAGTGGGAATAATACCAGATTATTTGGCAAATGATTAATGAAAAGTTTTTCAGAGATACAGTTTTTAGAATTTCTAAAGAAAACTCAATTTATTTTTGAAACTGCTCAAGTTTTACTGAAACATGTTTTACAAAGCAAGTTTCAGGTAGAAAAGAGCGTCAGGCTTCTTGCAGAACAAAACATAAACAGAAGCTGGTTGTAAGAAGATGTGGTTCTTCTTTGGGAATTAATAGAGGGTTTTAAACAGTTAAGTCTAATTAGATTTTATAACATATCTGAGTTTCAAAGGGGAAGGGGCTAGAGAAAGAGAAGACTCAGATCAAAGGCAAACAATTCTCCATATTAGAATGGCCAGTCTATTCTGGGGCAACCAACAGTCTTTTTCCCTTTGTTTATTTCCTTGGGTTGGTGGACTCCTTTTGGCATGAAGCCATAGAAAGAAGAAAGGAATTTCTGGGCATTTAAAGAATGAAGAAGGAAACAGAGTGAGCAGGAGTCACTTTGAGAGCGACTGGGAATTCTTTGTTTTTTTTTTTTTTTTGAGATGGAGTTTCGCTCTTGTTGCCTAGGGTGGAGTGCAGTGGCACGACCTCAGCTCACTGCAGCCTCCAACCTCCAACCTCCGCCTCCTGGGTAGAAGCGATTCTCCTGTCTCAGTTTCCCAAGTAGCTCGGATTATGGGCATGTACCACCACACCTGGCTAACTTTTTTGTATTTAGTAGAGACGGGGTTTCACCATGTTAGTCAGGCTGGTTGCGAACTCAAACTCCTGACCTCAGGTGATCGGCCCACCTCGGCCTCCCAAAACGTTGGGATTACAGGCGTGAGCCACTGTGCCCAGCCGCAACTGGGAATTCTAAGAAGGTTAACTCAGAATGGTCTCTTTGGAAAGTTGTATGTAGGTAGTTTACAGACTTACCATTAAACCCTGAGAAAATCACGTGTAAGCCGGTTCTAAAACTATAGAAAACTTATAATATTTAAGATAAAGATGAGAAAAACTGTTTCTACTTGGGTCTGAGAAGGAAAAGCAGGGCTTAATTGCACAATGGCTCTTAGTAGTTGAAAATTAGCAAGAAAGGTACTTGATAAAACCTAGGTATTAGTATTCCCTAAAATTTGGCTCTGGCTCAAACTGTGATTCATTGTATTTATATCAAGTAACTATGACTATTTTAAATGGAATTCCTTGTTATTTTAACGAAAACTTAATTTTTATCTAGGTTTCAGATATGTAGAGTCA